GTTACAAGCATTACGTGACTTCCGCTGTCGTAACACAACCAACAATTCCTAAGGATGTGTTGATGTATTTGGTTTCACTTTGCCCCACTCACTAGATGAGGAATTATTGCTAATTGTTTTAGATCTGAGTATTTCACATTTTGGTGGTGTAGTGACCGCTGTCTTTGTTTCCACTGGAAGTTGAACCTCTGGTGTAGTAGTTGTCATGCTAGTACATAAGAGTTTTCTGGTTAATGACTGTGAAGCTAACCTAACCTTGGATCTGTGAAGTAAGTTTCAAAGATGCACTATACTTCAATGTCAACTACATGGACACCATGAGCTGTAGAGAAGCTTTTTATGGTGAGGATAACTTCCAACTTCCCTTTTGCAAGTGTTCATCGTAGTTAGTTTTGTTGGTAATAACAAACTTAGCAATCATTTTCTTAAAAGTTGATGTTACCCATTATTCTAAACCATGAGACTGGGGGTGAAAAGTTGAAGCACGTGTCTCCACCACATCAAACAATTTACACAACTCAGAGAATAGTTGGCTATCGAAATAAGATTACTAATCCATGTGAATTGCTTCACGTACCCCAAATAATGCTATCCAGTTCTCCGTCAATGCATCATTGACAGACTTTGCTGACATATTGGCAAGTGGATAAGTTTTAGCCCACTAATTGAAGTTATTGATAACAACTAGCACTTACCTCATTCAATTTCCATGAGAGAACCAATTACATTCTGGACTGTTCTCTGCAATGAAGAACCAATCATTTTCTACTGGAGTTTTCCCTGTTTAGGCTAGTTTTAATTCTGGGCAGCACATCTTTAAATATTTACATCAACATCATTCAAATGTTGAATATTAGCAAAGCTAGTAACTACTGACCAGAGTGGTGGCTTTATTCAGAGTACCTGACATATACAGTGGTCAACTTATGGCTTGGCAGCTTCTGTATTGACCAGAAACTCCATTGCTGAGCTGACAATCAAACTTTTCATATGCAAGCTGTCTGTTGCACTCTGACAAGTTGGTAGCCAGGTGGTACTTTGGCTCTGTTAGTTTCCTAGAGCCAAAGCAGTAGTAGCTACAGTTTGCTATAACTATTCTGCACATATTGCTCAGTTGGCAGTGTTGTCTAGCTGTAGTCCACTTTGAAGTAACCCAATTGCTCAAACTTGGAATACATACTGCTAAAGTTTGAGTTCAGCATTATTTATTAACTTTAGAAGGGTGCTCTAGCCAAGGTACAGCCAATGAAATTATTCCTATGAGTTACTTCCTCTTCTGTAACTTATTGAAAATTACCACTTTAAACCAAGTCATCATAGAAATTGTCTATGTCAGAGTGAGAATCTCATCATCTCTGTGAAGCTATCTTTACATCTGCTAAACCCATTGAGGGTGTAGAATATTTGCAGAAGTAGCGACCATGTTCTTGGAGCAACTCACAACTTCTCCAAGGGCATCTACAGTTAATTCACACTATCTCAGCCCAAACTATCTATAACAACTCAGGCTGGCGGAGGTTATCTGTCGATGATACCTCCAGTCTCTCTCATCGATCATATCTAGGGTTGGGCTACTTTTGTAAGCAAATAACTGGAAGTTCTGTAGATACTATTCCATTCACTCTTAGACTCGTCAGACTTCACATCATCCTCAGTCTTCCGTGTATCCTGTGCTCTCAGCTTGATCCTTGTGAGGAGAACTCAATCCTAAGTTCTAGGTGTACCATATTTTGGTAATTCTTCCCGAGTTTGCAGCTGTAACGAGAATAAAGTCATGAGCCTAAGCAGCATTAGCAAGAGTGGCATACAAGAGAGAACTTCTACAAGGGCCAACTGCTCTTTTTGACATCCATGTACCTTCAGTGATGGACTCTTTTTTTTTTTCTCTCTCTTGGTTGGAAGTCCTTTTACTTGTGGAAAATGCCGTTTTCTGTTTGTTTGAAGATATATAAATTTAAATCATAACGAAAATGTCAATAAGAGAAAAGAAAAAAACAACAACAAACAAATTGGATCATGACGCCAACATTTGTACTTTATTCTATGATATTTCCAGATAAATTGCTTTGCTCAACAGATTCTGTATAAGCCCTGATAACGAGAAATTCAAGCAGAAAACGTATTGCGGAGTTAAAGTGAATACTCTTGATTTTGACTGAGTTGTGAGAAATTGTTTGTTTTTTGAATTTCGCGCAAAGCTACACGAGGGCTATCTGCGCTAGCCGTCCCTAATTTAGCAGTGTAAGACTAGAGGGAAAGCAGCTAGTCAACACCACCCACCGCCAACTCTTGGGCTACTTTTTTACCAACGAATAGTGGGATTGACCGTCACAGTATATCGCCCCCACGTCTGAAAGGGCGAGCATGTATGGTGTGACGGGGATTCGAACCCGCGACCCTCAGATTGCGAGTCGAGCGCCTTAACCACCTGGCCATGCCGGGCCATTGTGAGAAATAGAGAGACTGGACGCAATATTATAAATGTAGTGAAAACAATAATACAAGTAAGTTAGCGATTGTGTACAACGAAATACACTGCCTTTACTGGATATACCTGTAGAATCTGTTCCAGATGCAAAGAAAGAATAGTTTGTTTGAACCTTGATTTAGCTTAAAAAGTAAAAACGGGTGTTTCTTGTCATACAGTATTCTCTGGTGTAGTGAGGAGTCAGCAGATGTTCTGTGGTAGTAAACAGCCACAAAATAGCAAAAATCAATACTTTATTTTTCGTGATTCTATTTTTTAGTTTATTTGTTTCGTCTCTTTGTGTTTTGTCCATCGTAGGGGTAAAAACGCCATATTTTAGTTTTGGGCCCGGCATGGCCAGGAGTTTGGGCACTTGACTCGCAATCTGAGGGTCACGGGTTCGATTCCCCTTCCCATCAAACATGTTCGCCTTTTCAGCCGTGAAGGCGTTATAATGTGACGGTCAATCCCAATATTCGGTGGTAAAAGAGTAGCTCAAGAGTTGGCGGTGGGTGGTGATGACTAACTGCCTTCTCTCTAGTCTTTCACTGCTAAATTAGGGACGGCTAGCGTAGATAGCCTTCGTGTAGCTTTGCGCGAAATTCCAACCAAACCAAAGTTTTAGCTATCACTGACACGCTGAGGGATACCTTTTATGTGTAATTTTAATGCCTTTATACGACTAAACATTTTTTTTATCAGTTTTGTTCAATTTAGTCATTTCGTTTAAAATGCATAGCTGGTATTGTCTTCTTAATGTTTATCTACAATATAAAGTAGCTTATGTCTGTTTTTCTGTCCATAAACAAAAAAAAAAAAAGAATTCTTGGGGAGTTCAAAATCCCTTACTTATCTTCTAATTGTTAAGAGTGTGATATCCATTTGTATATCCTCGAATTGCCGCTGTCGGCGAATGATGTACAGGTATACCATCCACTTGAAGCCTGGGAAATTAATGCCGTGCCTGGCGCGGGCTCTTTTGCTAGTTAGTTTAACAATATTGCATTTCTCTTTCAAAGGTATTTTATAGACATTGCATGGCCTGGAGATTATGGCGCTCGACTCGTAATTTGTGGATAGTGGGTTTACATCCAATCCCCGAATATTGTTTGTTTGTAGTAAAGCACAAAGCTACACAAAGGGCCATCTGTGGTCTGCCCGCCACGGGTATCGAAACCCGGTTTCTAACGTTGTAAGTACACAGACATACCGCTGTGCCATTGGGGGGGGGGAGATTCCCCGAATATGCTCGTATTTTCAGCCGTGGAGAGGCGTTATAATATGACGGTCAATCCTACTATTCGTGGGCAAAGGTTAGCCCAAGAATTGGCGATGAGGTGGGTGGTGTTGACTAACTGCCTTCACTCTAGTAGCATTTCAAAATTAATTAGGCTGGCGTAAATAGCCTTGAGTGAAATTTGACAAACAAATTTGTTGCTTTAAAACTGCCACTGACGATATATCTGCATGGTTACAGGTAATAAGAAATTCTCTTTCTCTCTCTCTCTCTATATATATATATATATATTTTTGGTTGTTCGTTTCTATTAGAATGCCTTTAAGAATTTACTTGATTATAAAATATGACTTTGTTTTCAAATTACTGAAATTTTTTGGAGATTAAATCGGAGGTAAAATTGAATCTGTAATGAGGTATATGTTTTTATTAGTTAATTTACAAGATTAATTATTTTACTTATCTAATGCGCCGCCTAATTACTAAATGTCACTTAGGTGTAGTTATTTATTTTAATTTCCGGAAATTCATGGTTCTAATTATTATGTTATTTGTTGGTCCCTTGGTGGCTCAGCAGTAAATCAAAGAGCTTATAATGCTGAAAATCTGGTGTCGATATTCGTGCTGAAAGGGCGCCCTAACCACCTGGCCATGCCGGGCCCATCTTACAAGTAAAACATCTGTAACTGTGCAAAAACATTCTACTCAATTTTTGTGATGTATATAACAATAGAAAAATTTCATATTTCAGTGGTATCTTCAATTTTCGACAGGCATAATACTTGTAATGTTACATTGTATCTGTCAAAGGTTACAAAAAATGGATCTGAAAGCTCACAAAAATAAAATATTAATTCATTTATTTCCCGGAGAAAAGTTGTAGAATTTTCTTAATATGTAATTTTTTGATAAATTTGTGATACACATACAAATATCAGTGACCCATTTCGAAATATAATCTATTATCATTAAAATTAAATATTTTATAAGCCTCATTAAACACAAAACAATTTTGGTAAGTAAGTTATGACGTAAACAATTTATTAAAGGAAATAAATATATATTTTTTTCAACTAAGAGCTTTGTTCTGCGTATTTGTTTTTACACGTATTTTTCCACTTCAATAATTGAACCACTAGATGGCAATATAAAATGAATGACTCATACTACTGCAATTTGTATGCGTAATATTGAACTGGAAAAAAATATACACATATGTATTGCAACTAATTAACAACTGTTTAAAAAAATATTTTAGGTAAATTGTCGTAAAACCATGTAAACTTTAATAACATATTTGCTTCTGGCGTAAATTTATGCAAATTGTAATTTATTTTTAGTTTTACTGAGAAACGTTTGTTTCTTTTCCAGGAACAGAAAACGCGCTACCTAGTGAACTTGTCAGTCAGCTGATTACAGTCTATGACTAACGCTGGTCGTTATGTGTGAATGAAGACTTCATTGAGTATTGATTGGAAGTTGGAACTTTGTATCTTCTACCGATGTAAGTTGAAATAATTATACACACACACACACACACATATATATATATTTATCATTTTTTATTTTTGAAATCATTTCAGTAGTATTAATATGATAACTATAACTGACTTTTATATCAGAAACTTCATGGTAATATTAGTGATGTAATGACACCTACGTATACAAAGTATTACGATTAATTAATAATATATTAAGTCGATTACAAAGTAAGATTAGTTATTTATAGTTTTTGTTTACCTTTGCGGTTGTCTATCATAGCACTAACACAGACGACTGTAACAAGATGGCGACTGAATAATGTTGATAAGTAGAACATCGGATAGAAAACACAATACTAATTACTAACACTAACAATATATCTATTACAAGTAGTAGTAGTAGTATCTGTAATACTACACTGTACTGTGATGTAGATGTTTATAACTCGTCTTATTGTACTATCACTATCATTAAACTCAGTTCAGTCCATTTCAAACGTTAAGACCAGTTAACATATGGCCATAAAAAGAGCACTGGTCAGTAATACTAATAGTAGTTTTAGTTGTAATGTTTTTACGATTGTTTTAAGTGAGGTCAATGATACATCTTTAAGTTGAAGCCTCTCTCCCTCCCTTTTTAGTTGGTCAATAGGTATGGGCAAATGCAGGAGGATTGGAAAGTTAATAATGTTACTCCTATGATAAGTGTTATCCTGGAAATTATAGATCATTCAGTCTTAATTCTGTAGTGGGAAAAATTTTATAGTCTGATAAAAAAAATGTACGAAAACATTGAGTGAAATATACCACAAAACAGGGGCTAAATGGATTCTTGCCTAACCAATCTGTTGACTTTTTTTTTTTTAGGATGTTACTTGCTTGGATGAGGGGAAAGGGGCGTGGCTTTGGTGTACCTAGATTTTTTTTCAAATGTTCTTTGATAATGTGTCACACAGAAGATTAGCTAAGAAAAATACACACTGGTAAGGGTTGGGAAAAGACTAGCTGACTTGTAGGGTGGCTGGGTGAGAGAGAGCCATAAGTTGTTATCAGTGGAGTCCAGTCAAACTGGACCATTGTTACTAGTGGAGTGTCTCAGAGGTCAATGTTTAGACCTTTATTTTTTTATGTTAATAATATTGATAGGGGTATAATGAATATCATAAATTTTGCTGATGACATAAAACTTTTGAGTATTGTCTGGCTGCATTTAAGATGTTGGGAAGTACTACAATAGCTTGGATTGATAAGTAATTTGAACAAATACTTGGAAATTACCTTTAATTACAATAAGTGAAATGTATTCCCCCCTGTGTTATCATAATTTGAGTCACACATTTAATATTTTATATTTCAGTATTGTGTTGCCAGTAGTAAAGCTAATAGAAGTTTACTTTGTATTTATAGACATATTGATTACAAGTTAAAGATTAAATTCGATGACGAGGAACCCACTTTGAGACTAATAATGGCTGGAGACGGCTTAAATGGGTAATGAAGAAAAAC